GTTAATGTTGAACACGGAATTGTTGATGTCAATCCAAGGTTTAAACTTTCAACGGGGGAACCATTTTGCCTTGCTAGTCAAGCACAACAAGTTTATTATACTCCATATCCGGCAGCCACGGATAGAACTACCCGGGGATGGTTGGCAGCTTGTAAAATCAAATCTAGACATGTAATTGAGACCTTATATGCCTCATCTTCAAGAGAGGTTGATGATATTTTTCAAGATGATGACCCCTCCATCATGCAAGGCTCTTCATTAGTTATAGATTTAACTGCATACCAATCACTTCAACTATCTGCAGAAGGTGTTACAGAAGTTGAGGTTGATGCTAATACATCTGAAGAAGAGGAGGACTATGGAGAAGAAAAAGATTCAGAATCCTCAAGAAATAGTGATAATGTTGAGGATGGTGATGATAGCGATGATAGTGATGATTAATTGAAACATCTGTATTATTACTTATTAAATATATGTATTAAAATTTCTTTGTCTTACATATATTGTTTTATCAAGTTATAAATTTTTCATTTAAAATAGAATTATTGTATGATTGTTCTAAATTTGTCATTTATTATTTGTATAAATGTATTAATAACTATTTTGTTATTCATTTTTTAGGATGTCTTGAAATCCTACAGGTTCGGCAAGGAGGAGATCTTCCTCCTCAGGATCATAAAAGCAACACAATTTTAATCACCCACAGCTGTTTACTGATAGTAGCATAGCTCCAAATATACAGCAAACGATTGATCCATTAATGAATCAACATTTTGCACCTGATCATGAGAACGAGGGCCCTTCATCCTCGACGGGGAAAAAAGGACGGAGCAGGAATTTCAAAGGAATACGCCCTCCAGAAAATAGAGAGAGCAAGAAATGGGTTAAACTCATTGATGATAAGCTCCAGTTTGCTGATCCAAACATCCCTCGGGCTATCACTTCACTGTGGAAGTCACGTTTTGATGGCCCCTATTTCACATATGAGCGTGTCCCCCAAAGCAAGATTGTTGAAATTTATAATTGTTTCAAGGTAAGATTAAGTTTTAGCAAATTTAATAAAATGAATGGATTTAGCAATTTCTAATAAAAATAAATAATTTCATTACTAAATTAGAATTTACATTTCTTAGACATTTAATGTTATTTATTTCTTATTTTGCAGACACTTTACCAGTGAGATCCTGCAAAAAATCGCCATGTGCGAGATGCATTCCTAAATTGTATGAAACATAGATGGAGTGACAATCTCAGGGATGAGAAGTTGAAATGGGACAAGAACTCAGCCTATGTCCCATGTTGGATCCCAGCTCATATATGGCCTCAGCTGCTAACATATTGGGACTCTGATGAATATAAGAGGCTCAGTGCAAGGGGAGCAAAGAATAGGAGCTCTGGGGAAAGGGTGACTCACACCACTGGGTCCGTTAGCTTTGGCATCCATGAGATGCGGATGGTAATCAAGCTTAATTAATAAAAATTTAATATATTAGATTTTATTTAACATTAAATTGTGTCAATTTATACTAACCAATATATTGCATTATCAATATTTTGAAATATAGACTGAGT